TGCAGTAGGGCTGGTGAAGGGTTGGCATCACGTGCCCTATAGACTGGCTGCTCCATCCTCCAGCATGGGACAGCTGGGACAGAAGCACCTGGGTTTTCTGTCCTGTGAGGGCTTGCAAGGCCTCATCTGGAGAGCCTCCTCCCCGTCACAGCCTTGTGTGCCGCATGGAGTTGGTGTTGGGGGCAAATGCATTTTAGCCTGGGGTTGTTGTGGGGTTGTTTTGCTTTTTGCTTGATGTCAGATCATTCAGTTGGTTCTTTTCCAACTGCTTCTGTGTCATGGTAGCTAATCACTGTCTTACGGGCATGGAGGGGCTTTAGCGAGGTACTGGTGATGCTGACTGATTGAGTTCTTGTCCTTTCCTGTGCTGATTAAAGAGACAGCTTAGAGACCTTGCTTTCTTCTCACTTCTGTTTTTCCTTTATTTTTCTGTCATGTGCATGCTTCCCAGAACCTACCCACCACCAGGTCCTTTGCTAGGTGGTATGAGTTGGTGGTGCACTCTAATGTATGTTCTAGTAAGGCAGAGACTGCAGTTGCAGATGGTGAAAGATTCTGCAGGTTAAAAAGTTACTAAGCAATGAAGTGCACTGTGTCTGCCAGATAGATGGGCCCCAGTTCCACGTGTTGCCCGTTAGATTTCATTGCAGGTGCCGCTCCCTCTCTGGCATTGCTGCTAACAGTGGCTGTGTTCTCCTGGACAGGATGGGGATCAGAGACTGCTGCATGTAAACCCCTTGTTTCCCCAGGACAGGCTTTTCCAGAAGGTCCGGTCTCTCCTGGGGGAGTGCAGCAAGTCGGCTCTTGTTGTGGATCAGTCAGAGGGAACAGCTCTGGTGCAGTAAGGAAGGAGCCGGTGTGTGGATACTGGTACAGCAAAACATGGCCTGTTTTGAATGTGGAAAATTTGGGGGCAGGGGCAACTGGTTCTGGGAGAACTGGTTTCAGAGCTTGTGTCCACAAAGAGTCCACTGACCCTTCCGAGGTCGTTCATCCGGTTTGCAAGGGAGTGGTAAGCCGATGGATGCAGAAAAGTAAGGAGCCCAAAACTCTGTAAAATAGTCTTGTTCCTCTGTGTGCAGTGGCATGGTATGGCATGGGTGGGATGCTGCGGAGAGCTGAGCCCCACCTCAGCCCCTGTGTTGGAAGCCAGCCCTGCTGCTGTGCTACCCAGAGGGGTGCCTCTACTCACAGGTTGTCAGTGTTACTGGGGAAGGAGAGTGATGGGGCGTGGGCAGTCATAGCTGCAGGAGGAGGCTGAAATCTGGGTGCCACGGAAAGCACTTGCTGTTCAGAGCAGCTCCTGGAAAGTTGGTTTGGGGACAGATACACGGGGACCTGAATCACTAATGTTTTTCTGGAACTTCTGGAAAGCAGTCAATGAATGAGTGCTGGGGCAGGGGGTTAATTTGATGGCAAATTATCTGTAAATTACAGTGGTGCAGGTCCACTGATTTCTCGTTTGTTGCAGTGGAATAAATGAGCGAATGTAGCCTCTAGGGCTGACACAGGTAACTGCCGGAAAGGAGTATAGCAGTGTTCGCTTTTTTGTATGGACCGTGTCCGAGTTGCTCACTTCTGTCGTACTGCTTTTTTAGGACTCTGATCCCCCTAAGGTAGCCTGCATAAAGAGATTTAGGTTGCGACTCCTCTTCGTTTAATTCTTTTTCCCCTGTAAGGATCCAGTAAAGCTTTTTTTTTTTTTTTAAATAGTTTGGCCTGCATGTTTATCCTTGCAATCTGAGGAGTGTCTCATCAAGCTCCTTGGAAATCATCTACAGTCCTTTTTCCTCCATCTTTGCCTGACACTAGAAGTGGTGTTCTTCCGGCTGCTCATGAGATTTTAAAAAAACGGAATGACTATTTAAAATCTGTGAGGAAGAGTCCAGCTAAAAGTCCCTTCCTTTAAGTTACTCATACTTCACCATCTTGGAATTGATGTTTTTTAGTCTTCCGTAGAGACTTCTGGGAAGACCTGGTTGGACAAGACCTTGAAGGACAAATGCTTTAATCTCAAAATTAAAGTCCTGTAGTTCTTTTGTATCTGACAAAAAGGTGCAGATAAAGATCTCATTTAACACAAGACGGCATTCTTCCTGCAGTAGTTTTCCTGAGCAAAAGTCAAAGCAGTATGTAAGAAGGGCAAAGGATGCTAACACACAATCTTCTGTAACACAGAGAATGCAAGTTCTTGTCATCTGGGTAGAAAGCTGATGCCTTTCAAACCTTCGTGTTAGATGCTCTTAATACCTTCTGCTGCTCTTTAACCTCTCTTCTGCCTAGCAGCTGCATCTTAAAGAGCAGATGAAATCGTCTCAAGGATGGCAGGTCCTAATCTCAGTAACAGTTCCTATCCTTTATAAGGTATGAAGTGAAATGATCTGTGAGTGGGTTTATCTCAGATCCCACGTAGCGTTTTTTTCTCAGCAGTAGCAAGAAAGGGAAATTATCAGGCAGTGAGGAGAAGCTGTTTATTTTTAACTTACCCTTTCTTTTTAACTTCTACTTCATAATTAAAGGAGGTAAGGAGTGGGAGCCAATGAAAATATATAGCTAAAGGGATAAGCTGGTCTCAAGTTCACTGCAGAGATTACGCTAAGTAGTGGGTAATGCAGTAGGCTTTAGGGCCTCTTGTTCCTTCCCTGTCCTCCTCCTAGAGGCTTGAGTTCCTAAGAACTCAGAGTTCTTAGCTGCCTTTCAAAGGGGACGCAGGAGGGCTGATTTAAAGGATACTGCTTATAGAGCTCGCCGCTGCCCTCAGAGTTCACTGTTCCCTCACTGTGGTTTGAGGATGCCTCTGCTGAGTATCTGAAGAGATCTCTACTCAGAGCTAGCAAGGAGGAATCCTCATTCTTTGTGGAGAAGCGTGTACCTCCATTGTCTGGGCACGCCCGTACAGCACTACGCATTGCTGTGCATATGGGGGCATAGAGGATTGAAGAGGAGTGCAAAGGAAGGTGTCTGGGGAACGGGGTAGCCTTGGGTAAAATGCCTCCACTCTGAGTTACTGCTGGAGAAGCCTTGTCCTACTCCTTGCCTTTCAAACAAGGTTTTTTCCCTGCAGCTTATTAATCTTGGTCAACTTGGCTTCCTCGGACTGACAGGAGGATAGCCCTCTGATTCATGCAAGCTGCTGGATTCTTTATTGCTCAGAAGAAGGTGCATTATACTATTACTCTCTGTCCCTAGTGGATAGTTGCATCCCAGAGTAAATTATTCCTGTACCCAGGCGGCTTTCTTTCATCATTTCTCTTGGCTCTGTGATGCTTCTCGCAGCTTCTGCACACAGGAACAAGAAGGGCAGGCTGAATTTGGAGATGTCTGTCATTGCAGGGGGTTCTTCCTCTGTGCCAGTGGAGCTGACAAACAGCGTTAGGAAATGAGTCCTGGAGAGCAGGCTGCGTGCTCTTGCAGTGGCGGGACACTGACAGGCTGTTCTTAAATAACATTGCAAAATGCTGATTCCTGCCCCTACTTTGCCTCTGCACTGCTGGAGGACAGCTGAGCTGCAAAGAGACTCTGCTGTGTGACTGTCTCGCCTGGGAACCACTTCTGGGACCATTTTTTTACCCCTAGTCCTCGTTTGGATGATGCCCTGTGGCTTCTGCCACCTCGGGCCCTAGCCTGCCTCTAAGTGTTTGCATGAGTGACTGTGTACCACTGCCACATGCAAAATTTGAGGGAAACAAGATTTTGAAGGAACCCTAAGCAAGTCTAGGTTTCCTAGAGTAAAGGATATAAGGACACGATTCAGTCGTATAAAGGGCAGGAGCTGCCAGCTGCCTAAAAGGGCAATTGAGTGTTTACATTGCTGGGAGGACAAGAGGAGAAGTAGAAGGGTTCCGTATTGTTCTCATCACTGTTGTCTTAAATCCTCTGCAATACTTTTCTTAGCATCTTTTCTGAGTTGTGATGCCTTGGGGAAGAGTCCTTTTCCTTTGCACCTTAGGCTATGTAGTCCTCCTGGCACAGGCTTTTTGTGAGCAGAGGCTACTGCAATGCAAACCTTGGATGTTGATACTCTGTTTAGCCCTCAGATCAAACGGTAACAGCCTGAGAAAGAAGTTTGTGGGTTTAAGAGAATAGTTTCAATCGTATGTTTTGCCCAGGAGTGCTGAGCTATATGGTTCCTGGTAGGAAGATTATCGTTACTTACCATCTCACAAATGCTTTGAGGAATGCGTTTGTCCATGCAATGCTTTGAAGCTAAAAAGCATTGTGGGAGTCCCTCTTGGTGTTCCCTAGTTAGGAAAATGAATAGTTCAATAGGACAGAGATGTGTAACTATGAATTTGCAAGTATAGCCCAGTGCTGGGAGCAGAGTAATATAAGCTGGAGTGCTTTGGTTGCAGTGAAGGCAGATAATAAAATATCTCCTGGGCAGGATGACCTGGATTCGTGTCTCCATCTGTTTCCAAACCCAGAGTCCATACCAGGGTTGGTCTTCTCTTAGTGCCTGTCAGAAGCTTGTTCCTATCAGGAGAGAAGTGCAGTGGTCTGTATGGAAGCTGACCTGAGCAGCTGTAGAAGCTGGCGGTTTAGCAGATTGTGAATACTGATTAGCAAGCCAGGAGGGAGTTGTGCTGGCAAAACTAGCCTTGGAAGGAGCATGAGGTCAGGCAAACTTGTGTTTGCATAGTGCCTACTGTGTTACATTTGGGTGTACGCATGCTAATTAGCTGCTTGATTTAATGAGATCATGTCTACTTCTCCTGGTGACATAATAGTATTTGGAAAACTGCTGCTGTCTTGGATAGTGGCTCCTCCACTGTTCTCATGAATGGAGAAATTCTGTAAATTTGAGGGCTGTTCCTTACTGGCATTAGGAAGACTTTAGTGCCCACCTCTGTGTTCTTAGTCACAAGCCAAATACTGGCTGTTCAAGCCATGTATGTTGCAAAAACAGGTGCCAGAGTTGTGATCTATCTCAGCCTTGCTCTTCCTGTGCTGAGGCACCTGCGGATGCTGACTCCTCTGCTGTATTTGTCTGTCTCTGGCAGGTTTTGGAAGTGGTAAGGTCCAACTACGACACGCTGACCCTGAAACTGCAGGACGGACTGGACCAGTATGAGCGCTACTCAGAGCAGCATAAAGAGGCTGCCTTCTTCAAAGAGCTGGTAAGCTGCCTGGACTCTGCAGAATCAACAACCAAAGCTTTTGCGTACTGCCTGGGCAGTGGCATTTGGGGGTGTAGCTGAGCAGCCCTGTTACTCCATTGGGCTGCCTCCAAAGGTGGGGCAGGAACAGGATCTGAACAGACACTGCATGTCTCAAGAGATCTGAAAGCTCCCTGGAGCTCCCTGCCCTGTAATACATGGCTGGGGAGGAACCACCAGGCTGCTCAAGCCAGCAGCTGGTCAGTCAGTCTCTGTCCCTTCTGCCATGGGGATCCCCTGTGCTTTGTGGTGGTAAATGTGCATGGTGGAGAAGCTGACTGCTCCCAGTTTGGGTTTATCATGCAGAGCGACTTAGCCTTTTTGCTGTTGTTAAGGGGACCACAAAGTATGGGACTGAGCAGAATACATGGTGCTGGTGAAACATGGGCCTGCTCGTTGCTTTCCTTCATCACTCACAAAATAGGGTTCCCAAGCAAAGAAAGCAAAGGCATTCCCTAGAAATGTCTCCTTCTGCCAGAGGAGAAGACTTATGGTAGGAAGCCACCCAAAATAATATAGCAAAGACAACTGAATCCAAATAATCTGGGTTGGTAGTTATATTCTTCAGCAAGTCAGCTTGCTCGCCCTGCTCCAGAGAGCCCTGATGCAACATTTTCTTGTCCAACGGCCACGTCACCAAGGAAGCAATGTTTTTGTAGTGGCTGGTATCTGAGAGGAGCCTGGTTTTCCTCACTTTTGAATCATTACAGCTTCAGCAAAGGGAGAGATCTAACTCTGGCAGTTTTCTCCACCAGTTTGAGAGCTGATTCTCTCTCCCAGCTCTGTCCTTGCTGATTGATGAGTAATTGATGCCTGCCCACTCTGTCACGAGTCTGCATGAGTTTGGGAATGTTATGCCTCCCTCTGTCTACTATGCTCCAGAGCAAGCACGCCTGAATTTGTTTTGCTTCCTTCTACATAATCCTTTTTTAATGTTTTTTGGGCCATTCCAGTACGGCCGTTGCGTAGTGTACAGGCAAAACCACTTGCAATCTCTTTCATGGCATTTTTCTGTGCTCTTTTGTACCTGTTTTTGTTTCTCTGGCCTGCTGTTTGATACCATATCTAGAATACATACAAAGAAATTTGGCCATAGCCTTCCTGTGACATGGGCTTCTCCTATTGCTGTACCCTGGAAATAAGATGCATTTATGTTTCTGTTGTCATCTGTTCTGTCCCAAGGGTTCCTGCCCTCCTCAGCCAGCATCTCCTTCCCCAGCCTCTTGGCCACATGACTGCTCTGCTTCCTGCATGCCCCACTTTCCACTTGGCCTGGCAGAAGCTCAGGCCCATCATGCCAATTGATTAACATGACATTCTCAGTTCTAGGATGGTCACATCTACAAAGCACTTCAGCTAAAATTATTTTCTTCCTAGCCCGATCTTTTTTTGTTTGTTTGTTTTTCGAAATCACCATTTTGTATCATTTAAGAATCTGTTTGGCATAACCAGTCCCTCCTCAACTCCCTTCTGAAAATTGCCCGTCCAGGTACCCCTGGGACCGTCTCCTCAAGAGCATATGAAAGCCTGAATAATTACTGTCTAAATGTGCTGATTTGACCCAGTTGTGAATCTGTTTAATCCACATTTCTCTAGATGCCCTGAGAATTGGGACCCTATTAAATGTTCTTTACTCACAGCTACAGAAAATCCCCTGCATTCCATTAAGCTGTTCCCTCAACACAGTGGGAAATCAACCTGATATGTTACGATTTGTCTTCAGCAAACCCAGCTGGCCTCCCATCCTCCACACTGTTTTTTCCTCTAGGTGCACAGTAACTGATGGCTTTATTAATTGTTTGAACAACTCAACAAAAAGGCCCTAGTCTGCCCTGTCCTCCCCATGTCTTCCTCAAACCAGGTACTTGGCTTCCTTTTTGCAAGGCTTCCGAGTCTTTACTTCGACTCCTGTTGCTGGTCTGATGTTGGGTAATATCCCCCTACCCAATGCATTGTGTTTAACTGCTGAGGTTTGCAGGATTTCATGGAAGGGGCAGAGTGAAGTTGCTGCAATTTTCTTCGTGGGCTCTGCCAAAGGAGCAGGGCTCGTGGTGAACTCCAGGTTTCCAGTGTGGTTTCCAAGCTTGTGCTGGTCCCATCAGGTCCTCCTGAAGAGGATCTGTTTGCAAATAATTCTTTCCAGATTCTGCCTGGTTTTCTTATCTCTGTCTGTGTGATTGTATTAAAGCAAATCCTTCTTGGTGGGGAATGACATGCAGGAGCCATTTTCCTTTTCGGCTGCCTTTTCATCTCTCTGTGCTCCCATTAAGTGGGTGAGCAGAAACTTCCCCAAGCCATTCTCTTGGCTCCTTTATGCTTAGAAATCTTATTCTCACTCCTTTGACGTGCTTTGCTAATGCACTGCTTCACTTCTCTGGGCTTTGCCTCGGTGCTGCTCTTTCTTGCTAATCCCAAAGAAAATTCTGCTTTCTTCTCCCATTCCCTTTTCAAAGAAGCTTTCAAAGGCCTGCGAAACTGCAGCCACATTGTGGTGGAAGGTGATGTGCAGACTGTTTTATCAAACGGGTTTTCTGGCCTGTTGTGCTGCCTTTGAGGGGCTAAAGGGAGGAAGTTAGGAAGTTTTCTAACACTTTTTATTTCTTTTCCTTTGAACCCTCAGGGATGTCATTTGAGGTCTGTGCTGCTTTGATAGACTGAGTGGTTTGGATGTGAGCTTTTGGACCCTCGCATTGCAGCTGGAGGAATGTGTGGAAAGAGATTCAGCGTCTTTCCAAAACATTCGCTGTGTTTGCAGTTGGATAGGTTTCAGCAGAGTCTCAGAATAGTCTGATTAGGGATTGATTTCTGCAGGGGAAATTACACTAATTTGACTTTTAATTAGATGTAGTAGTCAGTGTAAACCTTCCTCCCATTGTACAAATTTCTTAAGAACTGCTTGTTGATTGGAAACAGGTTTAATTGATGGAACTTGCTGCGAAATAGGACTGTCTGTACAGAGTTGCACATGGCCAGCTATAATGACACGAAACTAGAACCGAATAATGTTTTCCTCCATTCTTTCATTTGCTTGTTGTTCTCCAGGTAATGTCAGCATTTCATATATTTCCCGTTTCTTCAAAGTCTATGGGTTAAATGTGATCCAAGCCGCTAATAGGGAGGCAACAATTTTGAAAGCTTTTCTGGCCCTAGCGTGCTCCAGCATGCTCCATGCAGAAGCAAGAGAGGACGTGTGCTCTGCTCTTAGTTCTTTGCAGCATGAATGTTAAAGCTCTGAGCTTACTTTCCGAGGCTGGTTTTGGCCCCCTCATGCTGGGGGTAACTTGATTTAACTCTGATTTGAGCTATTCTTACCTTTTAGGCTGGTTGGCTCAGAGCTGCCTGCTTTCTCACAGCAGAAGTAGTGCTGGACAGAGACTTGTAGAAACGTCAGAGTCATCTTGTGTGTTGTTATCATGCCCACTCCTCTCCTCAACTTGTGTTAAAGCAGACCTAAGTCCATCGAGACCGCTCTTGATCAAAGTATGTGTCTGAGCTCCTCTTGAAACCTGTAGCTGTCTTTAAGTGAGAACAGCTCCACACTGGCCCCAGGTGATCTACTCCACTGCTTCACAACCCATAGGTTTAAAAGTATTTCCTCTTTTCCAGTGCAAATCTTCTTTGTCTTAAATTAAGCTGAGTATTTCTTGCCCCATCCCTGGGGAGCCAGAGGAATATTACTCACTGTTCTCTTTCTGACCTTATTCTACATACCGGAGAGTGTTTGCTCTATTCCTCCTAAACTTCTCTTTGCAAACTAAACAGGCTTAATTTCTTGTGCTCTACCCCATAGCTACAACTTCTGCTAAACCCGGTGTCCTCATCATGTACCACTCCAGCCTTCCTTTCTGGGCTTGTAGAGACTGCTGCCACAGCCTTCCTGGAGACCTTGATGTGTATACAAGTTGGGCGTCTTCTACTGCTGGTGCCTGGCCCCTGGCAGCAGTTCCTGAGGCCAGGAGCTCATTTCTGCTTGTTCTTTCTGTTGCCATGACCCGTAGAAATGCTTCTAGTCAGAATAAGAGTGCTGGCTTATCCTACCCATAGCGTCTGCCTCTTTTCTGCAGGCAGTCACATTCCCTGGGGCAGAGGTCTCTCCGCATCTGTTTAGCCATGTCGTTCCCCTCTTGTCAGAACCGACTGGGTCGCTGAGGTGGGGAGCACTTGGCTGTGCCCAGTGCAAACCAATGTTCTGGAGACCACTTGCAGTGCCATTCTCATAGGCTATAACCTGGTTATCTTACAAGACATGATCCCAAACTTTCAGTATGGAGTAAGTCAAAAGACACCCAGAGAAGAGAGATGAGAGAGTACTCCAAGGGAACGAAGATGCCTGGGGTCTCTGCCAAGCATGCTGATGAAGGAGAGTTTGTGGCTTCTGCAGACACCATCAAACTTAAGTATTCTGCCTTTAAGTGTAGACATCTTTGCTAGCTTGCTCGGGTTGTTAGGGTCTGTGCAATGGGGCTCACTGCGGTTCACTTCACAGCTTTCCCTGTTAACCTTCCATGTTTTGATTTGCTTCCCACTCTTACACATTCTGCCTTTCTGGGAGCTTTCTGCCCTTCCACTCTCTTTTTTTCTCACCAGGGCAGCAAGTGGGACCCTCGGCAGTATAAACACTGCTAACTTGTTCTGCCAGCCCCCAGTGTTGCATTCCTCATTCTGTTTCTATAGGATTCATCCCCAGTGCTTTTAAAAAGCACAAATTGCTAACCAGGTCAGCAACAACCTTGTTATCACAGGCTCTGAGTCTCTGGGAACTGTAATCCCGTTGTTTGGATGAGCTTGTGTCAGTTTTGCTTTCTGTCACTGCTGCACAGTCGCTGACACAGATGATGTTTGACTTTGTTTTCTTGTTGCTGAGTGCAGTTGAGACTGAGCCCAGTCTGGGGCCTGCGTGTTCGGCCAACAAGTCTGCAGGCACGAAGGGGGAAGGGAAGCTGCTGCGCAACAGGGCTGCCCAGCTCTTCCTCACAGACTCTGCAGGTGACCAGAAGCCCAGGCATCATGAAGGGATAAAGGTGTCTCTTCTTCAGAGACAGCTAGTGAGCCAACTGCAAGTGTAAGGCACTCGGCACAGAATACACACAGCTGGCTCTGAACCCATGGTTTTCTGCCAGCTTGGGTGATAATTTATGTTTACGGCACAGTAGCATGGCCTCTGTCCTTTCCGTGACTCCGTATCTTTGGCTCTGCAGGTTCTGGAGCAGGACAGAGGCCATGGCACTGCATTCATCCAGGAGAATGCTGGCTGCCACTCCAGCGGGCACTGGTAGAAAATGCTCTTCCAGCTCACTTTCCTCGGAACAGGAAACCTATCATAGCTCATGCATCCAAACAGAGCGTCCTCTCCCATCACTGTCTCATTTGGAATTTACTCTCCTTGCTGGGATGTCACTCTAGATGTTCCTGTTATTCCAGGCAGCAGCTAATCCTCAGAGATTTCTTGCTAAACTGGAGTCTCAGTGAGGGCTGGCTGCAGCAAGTTCCCTGGAGCTATAACAGCATGCAAAACGGTTCCATGCTGAACCTGGAGGTCACAGTGTCAAAGCCACCGTGCGCGTGGGGAGCCAAGAGGAGACCCTTGGCTAAAAACATCTTGTTTTGTCTCTGTCAGGTTCGGTCCATCAGCATCAACGTGAGGAAGAACCTTGCTTTCAACACGCTGAGCCAGGAACTGCTGCTGAAGGAATTCTCTACGATCTCTTGAAGCGGGGACCCAGCCGCTGCGCAGGGCTGACCAGAGACGGGCCTGTCTGGGCGGGGGCACTGCAGATCTGCAGCCGGTCGTTCCTTGCCTTCTGCCTGCAGAAGGGACTGCGTTTCTTTTAGGGGAGAGCCTTGCTGCTGTGTGTTTGATCCCAAAGGCATGTGTTTCAACAGGACTGGGGCCTGAGCCGAGGTGATCGGCCTGTTGAGGAGGAGGAGGAAGCAATTTTGTAAGGTGCCGTGGGGGTGGGCAGCCATTCCTGTGACGTAGCAATGGGAGATTCCCCGCGCAGCCTCAGGGAAGATGCACTGGAAACCTTTGTAGCAGAGCTGGGGAGAGCTCACAACCAAAACAGTCCAGCTGTGTAAGACAGTTCTGGGCTGAGATCACTCGCCTGCTCTATGGGGAAGGCTCTCTGATCCCAGGTGAGGGCTGTTCTTTTCCATCAGCCTGGATCAACCTGCCCTCTCGCAATGTAGGAATGGCTTTGGGGTATAAAAGAGTTTCCCCAAGGAGCAGGCCCTGCTCACTGCCGGCTCCAGGTGTCAGAAGGTGTCACTTGAACGAAGCCGTCGGATTACTGGAGAAGGAGAAATTTTGCCTCCAAGACTTACTGGGTCCAGTCTAAGCCAGTATGCAAGAAAATGGGTCATCAAACAGAGCATTTTGTAACTGACGACCAGCTCTGCTTGGGGTCACTGTTGCTTCTGGTAGCCCAGCTCATCTCTGCTGTTTCTAAGATTGAGAGACATTTTTAGATACTCCATTTTCATGGGGCAGAGGACAGGCTGACTCCCTCCCCCCACTCCCCTTATTGCCCATGAGAGACTGCATTGCGACAATCCTCCTCTTCCTCACAGGAACGTCTGCCTTGCACGTGTTTGCAAGTGCCTGGTGACCTTCAAGAACTAAGAAGTCCCTGGTTTTTCCCTTGTGTGTGGCACGCAACTAAAATGCAGCTGGAGAAGCAGTTACTTCACTTTCTCACTTGCCCTCCCGTCTTCGCCAAGCGACTTGCAGCAACAGTCTGCTGAGAACTTCCTAAGGAAGAGCTCCGGGATGATGCTCCGGGGCACAGGCAGACCTTTCTGCTCCAGAGCCAGTGTTTCAGAGGCGCCCAGGTCCGGCGGAGCCTGTGCCGAGTGCTGTGTCAGGCTGCCAACTCAGGAATACGCAGCATCAACACCCGTTCCCTGCTTGTGCATTTCAGCTCCTGGTGGTGATGTTAGGAGCTGGCCTGACTTGGTGGACTGAAGCAGAGAAGTTATTTACATCCCAGATCTACTTTTTTTTTTTTCCTAGAAAACAGTTTTTATAAAAGAAGTGCCTAGTCCTGTTCTTAGCCTCGTAGGTTAGCTGAGTGATGTGAATGTCATGCTCATTTACTACCATTTTTAGGCAAGGCTTGTTCATGCTAATGTGTATTAGTTGCATTAATGTTTCATCTCTACCTGCCATGAGCATGGAAAATGAAGCTGTGTCCTTGGCCACCCACTGAAGCACCCGATGAAGACCGTATGTTTTCCTTGGGAGCACCGGCTCCTCTCAACAGAAGACACTTTGCCTCAGCAGGGAATTGTCTGGCTTTTATCAGCTAAGCCAGACACTTATTTGCTTTCCTGCCTGCAAGTGTGTGGAAATGCGCACATGTCAGAGGGACGGTGCTTGGGAGAGCAAGCAGGCTCCATAAAAATCACTTTGCTTGAGAATAGGCCAGGACATGTAGAAGGAGGCAGCTTCTCCACTGAAAAATGAGTAACAATGGTTGGCAGCACATGGCGCTTGTCTGTGTGTGTGGAAAGCTCTTGCTAGGCGATCTCACCTCTGAGGGGGGGGAGTTTCTTCTCAAGGGGGCTTGAGGTGCAGCCCCAGCGTCGCTGCTGTTGGAACACCGAGTCACCCAGCTGCCCACGTGCCTCCTCTTCTCTGATCCTGCTCAGGCTGAGACTAGACAGATAGGCGAGAGAGCTGGGGATGAGTCTGCCTCTGCGGCGGCGGCCTCTGGGGTTTTCAGCTTTTCACTCTGGGCTCGGCTGTCGAAGGTCTCGTCTCCCCCAGGGTGCTCCCTTGCTGGGATGAACTGAGAAGCCCAGGCTCTGACTGGGAGCAGCTCCTGAGGTCAGCCCTCATCCGAGGCTGAGCTGGGGAAGACTGTGACACACGTCCTCTTGTCACGCTGTCACCAAGCACTGTAAATGGCTGTACATACAAACCTAGAGCTCAATAAATAACAGAGCCCTGCCTGTCCAGAGTGTGCAGTGTTTGTCCTTCACAGAGGGGAGAGTGGGGTTGTTAACGGGGGCGGCCCTGTCACCGTTTGGTGGCCTGCCGGCTGTAGCAGGGCA